ATACCCAGTATGTAAATCTTTAAATCTGTGAAGACCGGTGAAGCGTTTTCAAACCTTCGAGTTTGTGTGTAACAGCGCCCCCGGTGCCACCCGCGAGGCTGGTGGTGGCAGCTTAGCTCCCCGCGCTCGGGGCGCGAGCACCTCCGCCTGCTGCCGGGGGAAGGGGTTTGCTGCTCTGCCGCCCTGAAGGGACGGACAGCCGGGCTTGGGTAGCTGGGGTTTTCCCCTGCGTGAGGGGGCCCAGGTTTGTGCCACCCGAGGCAGCGGCTGCCTGGCTCGAGAGAGTCTCTTAGCTCCAGGGGCGCTACAGCTGCCTTAGCGCTCCGCAGCTGCTCTGTAACGAAACGCCCCTGGGAACCTGTGACCAAAGTCACCCTTTCTGTGGAGCTTGGAGTGAGTCCCTTCAGGCTCTGAGAAACTTAAGACTAACAAGCGTAAAGCTCGTATTTGTATGGCAGAGCTGGGGGCTTCCGTACAGGTGGGACACGAGTATTCACCACTGCCTGCTTCCATGTCATTTCCTTTTTTGCAAGGAGTAAGTAGCACAGATAATTCACTTTTCCTTTGTTTTGTAGAAGGTAACAAAATAGAGAGGCACTACAGAACACAGATGTACTGCTGTGCAGGCAGCGAATGCTGTATAGAAGGGGGGTTTTAGGAGTTTTTTAGATTGTAGTTTTATAAAATATTAGTTCTCTGAACCATTTAATAATTACTGCCACAGGAGTGTAGGAAACAATAAAAGTAATGAGCTCTGACCTTTATCAGTATGTTTTCTCCCTTCCCGTGCACCTGCATGGTGTGGCCAGTCCTGACCAGTCTGCTGGATGCCGCTCAGGGTATGCTGTTCTCTACCTGTCTAAACGGCACTTGCTGTCAGGCTTCAGCGTGGCCAAAAACCAAGTGAGAGATTTGAGGCCTAATCCTGCAAACCCTTCCTTGCACGAGGGGTCTCACTTGTTTTGGGTAAACAAACCTGAGTACAGCTTGCTCGCTGGAACCTGTACCAGCATATGGCGTTACAGGTTTGTCAGTGCAAGTAACATTTGCTGCCATGGAACAAATTGCCATTGTGTCGAAGGGGAGTAGTACTGGGCCCTAACGCCAGGGCAGGAACGTTCACATCCAGCTAATCCTGGCTGCTAGAAGCTTATTCTTAGTTCAGAATTAGCTGAGGTTCAGCGTGAGGGAGTGGAGAGCAGTTCACAGTGCCTCTTTCAGGGAACAGCTTCAAATGATATGGGAAAGAAACAAGTGGTAAGTTTGTGGATCTTTGAGTCCTACCAGTCTTACAGCCTTTTTTAGTTCTGGTATCAATGGAATTTTTGGAGCCTGGTGGGAAGTATTTATTCAGGTGTAGTCTAATTACAATTATATAATGCAATATCTGAAAGTAAATTGCCTTCGTTTTTCTAGATGAGAGGAAGCTCAAGAGCTCAGTTTCAGATTGTTAACAGGAGATACTTACTTTTAGATTTTAGTTGGTTTTGACCTGCTGGCAAATATCTTCAAAACTGTATGGAAATTAATGTTTTACCATATTTCAAAGTTTCTTTCATAAATAAGCTTATGTCCTTTTATTGCTTGTACTATTGTTCTGAATTCACAACTTCAGTAACAGAAAATACTCAGCTGACGCTGTATACTGTGAAGGTATATTTGAAGGCATAAGTTATTGTAGTATTTTGATATTTAAATAGAATGACTGCTAAGCTTTCCAACAAAAGCGGTACCTTACACAAAAAGTGAAAATTGTTCAAGTGAAGTTGAAATGCACACTGTGCCTCTCAGGGAGCTGTTAGGTACATGTCCCTAATGCAGTGCCCGTCAGAACTCCAGTAAAAGCATGTTATTCCTGCGTCTTTTACATGTTATGTATTGCTTTTACATAACGTCTCCATCAGGAGTCTACAGCTATTTAAGAGGCATACGAAGCAAAATACACTTAGTGTGTTCTGACCGTATCTGGAAATGGCTGTTTTCTGAGAGGCGCAAGTTGACTTTTGTCCCTCTTGTTTTTCAGTGCCCGCCTCGTGCCCTCCCTCCAGTGCCAAGGTAAAATCAGTTCATTCTGTGGAATTGGTCATGGTTCTCTACTGCAGTGTTTTTATAAGTAATGAAGTTGAGAGAAATAAGTTTAATAAATATATGAGTAGTCGTAACAGCTTTAAAATTAATTGCTTTTTTTGCTAATTTGTTGTCCCAGAACCCCTTACAATGGGTATAAAGCATTTTAAAGTTTTAGAGAGGCCGAGAAATTTTGCTATATTACCTCGGTTTTAATACTCCAAGAGATAAACCCTTTAAAATTTTCGGAAAAATAGCTAATTCAGTTTTATTAACATCTACTTTGGTCTTATTAACAACCACATTAGTTTTACTGATGTCTTTCTTTTCAATCTCTTCTTCCTTCCCTCTTTGTTTTGTTTCACGTTCTGTAGTTTATTTGAATCACATCCTACAGAACAGGAATTTCTGAAATTAGACTAGATATTCTTGAATAGGGGTGTAGGTGTCTACTAGTTCAACATAGTCTAGGGAAAAATTTAGGCTTTTTTCAGTGTGGCAGGAAAGGCAATGATATAGTATCTATGACGTGGCACTTCAGAATTCCTTCAGAGCACCTAAAAGCAAATGTGATGTCTGCGACTGACAACATGTAAAGATCGTGTCTTTTCAGTAATGTATGCACTCAAATGTTTCATAACTTTTGTTGGTTTGTTACATATCAGTCAGTAAGACAAGTTTTAATTAGCCAAGTGATTAAAGCTTTTAATCTGATCCACAGCTAGCCAATCAGGAAACTCTGCACAGTAACAAACAGTGTTGAGTACCCTTAACCCTATTGTACACAACTGCTCATGAAGAGAACTAGGAGTGGGGATAAGGAAATTAATCAAAAACAGTAGTGTGAATTTGACTGTTGTGAATTGTAATTGACTGAACATTAACTTTCTTCTCATCTTTTTTCCTTTTACACTTTTTTCCTTCTACTGCTCTTCAACACCTTTTCTCCTTAAATATGAAGTGGAAACCAAGGTAAGTTACTCTGGCGTTAAAGAGAATTAGAAACATTGGTAGTTCCTTTTGGTGTCACTTCATCGTGTCTTTAAAGATAGAGCCTTATATTTTTCCTAAATGCAGGTTGATGATTTAAACTGCCTGGGTACCTGTGCTGCCATTGCTGGAATTTTCTGTTGTTTTTCTTTGTTCTCTTTACTGTTTGCTACTTCCATGCTAAATCAAGGTAACTGAAATGTTGTCACTGTGCTCTAAACAAGAAGCTTATTCTTCAAAGCATTATTCAGATTATTTCAGGTTTTCACTTAACAAACATGCCTGTGTGTATTTAGCCACTGTTGTACTCAAGGCAGATTTCTTATCCTGTTTTCCTGCCGTCTTCTGTTCTCCTGCTTGTGTGAACTGGTGAATTGTCATCTTACCGGTAAAAGGTGAAGGTTGTCTTCACTTGTAAAAAGGAGTCCCTTTCTTAACTAGCAACAGAATGGCTGTTAAAAAATAGGACGTGGAGGTTTCTCCATGCTGTGCACCTACACTTCTGTTTTTTGTTCTGCAGATGAAATTCCACTCAGTCGTCCCAAAAAAAGGAAACCCAAAGGAAAGACTCCATTAGGTAAGGTCCCGTCAGGACTGAAACCTGTGTTTGTAATCCTGGGTGAGACCTGCACTGTAGCTAAGCTCCTGACAGATACATGGTTTTCAGTCTTGCTCTCTGTGTTTGAGTAGTGTTCTCAGATAATTTATTACAATTGATTTTATACTGAACGACTGCAGTCTTTCTCCACAGAGTGGTGTTGGTTTAGAACAAGTCTCTAATGCTAAATGAAGTAACTTCTTCCATCCTCTGCTCCTTCTTTCTAGATCCATTCCTGGTACTGCTAATATAGCATGTGTTGATACTGAACTGAGAAAGTGCCTTTATTCCTGCTATTTCTTCCTTTCTAAAATTTTTGGGTATTTCATTAAGTAATCATTTCCAGCTGTAAGCTGCTTGTTACACTGAATGTGTTAAGCTCTTGAATTTTTGAATGAACTAAGGTAAAATTTATTTAACAAATTGGCTCAATTTCTGTCCTTGGCCAAATTAAGTCACAAGTTAATCATTCAATTATCATCGAAGAGTTAATAGCCTGAAAGATGACTAGCACTAGAGCTTTGTATTTTTACAAGAAGCAGATCTGCAGAACAAATATTGTTTTAAGCAAGATTACAAATCTGATCTATTTTGATAAAGCAGATGTGTGGATACAATCTAGCGGATTAATGTAAAGCACTTGACTTGGGTCCGTATGATGGCTTGATGAGTAAACCTCCTGTGCTTGATTAAAAGTGTGTACAATTGAGGTCTCACTAGAAGACCTTTAAATGCAATAAGTAGAGCTGTTGCTAGCAGGGTTTCCCAAGGATCAAGTTTTGTTTGCTGTTGTTTTCAGTGAGCTGAATGATGGTGCAAAGTACGCCTAGGCTTTGGCCATTACTTTGCAGGTTAATTTTGCATTTTAGCACAGCATAGCTTTATAAAAGGTGGGAAATCCTGTACTTGAAGTAAACAAAGATAGATTCAGTTGTTATCATAAAAACTGCAGTACGTGAAAGAGCTATAAAAAGGCAGATGTGACGGAAAACGGAGAAATAACTTTGTCTTTCTACTTCTGATTATGCAAATTGATGCTACTGCTGCTAGAATATTTGATGAATTCATGTTAACCTCTCATGGAAATGTAGTTCCTCCAAAGTAATTAGTCACTTAAACTGGAGTAAACATCCTTCACTGTTGTGTTTTTCTGCTCCTTCTTTATTCTTGTATAGTTAGCATTTAAATTTCCCTCTGATATGATGCTGTTTTGCCTTCATATATATCCATGTGAATCAGCTTGTAACAAACTGTTAATTTTTTCTCGTCACTTGCATTACAATCTTTGCATGTAGAAAGGAAAATACAGAGGTATAGTTCTTACCTCTGGTAGATTTCTCTCAATCAGGCCTTTGTTGTATGCCCAAATGGGAATTGTGCTACTTCTTGGATACTTGAATTTCCTCCTGGGCGTGAAACTTGCAGGGTGAAAGAAGGGTTGTCAGCTGTCACCTTTGTATATTTACTTACCACATTTGTTTCCTAACTCTTGTATTTCCTTGCCAATACTTTTCATCTCAGCTGTAAGCTAGGCAAATGCACAATGCAGCAAAAGGCAGCTTTTTCTTGTCTGTTTCTCAGTGGCTCTGAGTTAAGGTTGCTGGATCTTTTAATCTGTTTTCAGATGGCATTGTCCCAGCAGCGGTTCGTCGGCAGTCTGAAAGCAGTGAGCCCCTAACTCCTGAACCTCATGATGTCCCTCCTCAGAGGAAGCGCAAGAAGAAGAAAGTACCTACCGGTATGTGAAATAATTGTAGTTTGGAAACAGCACTGAATAAAACTTGGTAATACAAAAATATAATTGTCCGGCTTGTATTTTGGCTTGAAACATTTCATGTGCTTTTGTACTTAGAGTAACTTAAAGTAATCTCTGAGTGAATGGTGGCTTAGAGTTTCAATTTCTGAGTTCAGATGCCATAGGGTACAAACGCTCATGCACACAATGACAATATAGTTTTGGGAGTGATAAAATAGGTCCTTTATATCATTCGAAGCTCAGATGGTCATCGCTTTTTTTGCCACTGTGTTTATATAATAACTATTTATGTATGTGGGTGAATGTATTTCCATTTTTTTGAAAGCTGTGAAACTTCCATGTGGTCTATTTTAAATCTTCAGATTCTGAGACGTCTTTTACCCAGCAAAATGTTGCATCCCTATTTCAGAATGGAAATGGCATCGATGTCCCTGAAGCTGAAGAAACAGTTATCCGCAAACAGAGAAAAAGAACAAAGTGAGATAAAACTAGTATAGCTCATAACTTGGAATAACTGTGATAAAGAATGTGGCTGAGTACTAATTTATGTTGTTACATTACAAAAACGTAAAATCCTTAAGTCCACGATACCATTCAGCCTGTGCAACAGATGGTATGTGTGCTGTTCTTACCAGGGTTAAGATCCAACTTTCTTTCCTTGTGTGTTCTATGCATGCCCGGATGCACTACAGTTTACATTTACGTGAGCCTAATATTTCAGTCACATACATGAAAAAATTAGAATGTGTAACTGGTCTCTGTCATTCCTATCATCTTTTTCATAATTTTACGAGAAACTTAACTGCTTTCTCTTCCTTTTTATTTGCCTTTTCTCCAAGAACTTTGCTTTTAGATCATTTTGGTCGCCTTTCTACCAAAAGCATCCACTTTCTTGGCCTTGTATTTAGTTTGCAGTGTTTTTTTATCTGATTGTTAATCTCTTGATATGTATTTTTTTCCCACTTCATTGTTTTGACACCGGAAGGAATTTAAATAGAGACATAGCCCCCCAAATCAAGCATTAGCTTTATGGTTTTAGTTAACTAACTGCATGAGAACTTTTAATCTTTAAAATTATAAACTGGGGGTAATATTATACAGGTCAGTAGCCTGATGGGTTCTTATCAGTCAAGTTAGACATGTTCAAAGTTTACAGGAGCCTTCAGGTTTTACATTTTACTTCCTAATCTTTCTCTGCCCCATTGTGTGTTCTGTACTGATAGGAAACCTCGGCCAACCGAAATGCACTGTTCCAACGAGCTGGAAGTGGAGGAGGAAGACATCATTGAAGATGAGCACAGAAAGAGCCCAGATCAGCAGCCTGTGTTTGCTGCTCCCACTGGAATTAGCCAGCCTGTTAGCAAAGTGTTTGTTGAAAAAAATCGTAAGCATGTCTTGTGATTTAAGTAATTTAAGGACATTCTTGCAGTTAAAGGAAGCAGCATTGTATTTAAAATCCAATTAAAAAACCTCCAGTTTTCTAGAACAAAAATTATTTGGAAATAAATATACATGGTAATTTTTCAACAGTGAACGTTAGTATTGCTGTTAGCATGTTTGGCTGAATTTTTTAATTCCATGGTGTGGGTGAAAAAGGCTGTTTCAGAGCACCCTGCTGAGCTTATTTGACCTAATACTGTCACAGTACCTTAAGAAGAAAGTATCATTTACTATATTGCAAAAAGTTTTTCAAGTGGAAATTTTTGTTTTGGTTTGGTTCTTCCTGCCCAAAGTGGTTTGCCTGTTCTTAAATCCGTAGCCTGACCCACCAGGATGCCTCACACTGACAGGCATCCTGGTACGAATATAAGCTGACAGAGGACAGGAAGTGGGGAGAAGTATTCTGATGGACTTTCTGATGCTTACAGCTTTTTAACAGTAATTCATATTAATGTAGAAATAATGATGGAAGGTAACAGCACTCTCTAGAAGTAATATCCTCATCCGTTTAGGGCGTTTTCAGGCAGCTGACCGTGCAGAATTGATTAAAACCACTGAAAATATCAATGTACTTATGGATGTGAAAGCTTCATGGACTACCAGAGATGTTGCCCTCTCAGTGCACCGAAGTTTCAGGTGAAAGATAAATATTTTGATGTAACTAAGTAGAAATCAGGGTTTGTGGTTGGGGTTTGCAGTTTTCCCCCCCCCCCGAAAGTTAGCACCTTTTCTCTATCACTGCAATGCATCTTTATTTCTTTTGGATATTCCTAATAAATGGTGGTTCAGGATGCAACAGGTTTCTCAATCCTCTAGCTTTTGGTATTTGTTGTGAAGAATACCTGTTTCTAGTCTAGACATCACATGTGAAATGCAACTTATAATAACTAAGGAAGTCATACTGCAAACATTCAGACAAAATCTGAATAGCAACAGATTGATAACAAAAATATTAGAGATGTAGAGAAAAAATGTATTGCAAAAATGAGATTTGCTCATCAGCTATACGACCAGAATAGTAATACCTGAATTCATATATTCTCCAAGAAAAATCACGGCTGATGAAAAAAGAGGGAGGAGTGAAATTGGAGTGGGGCATAAGCTTGTACACAATAGCAAAAAAAAATTTATTTTTTTTTTTTAATATGTGGTCCTGTTATGATACAGAATGGGAGGTTGGCAGCCATTTTCTTTGTTTTTTTTATTACCTGGTGTATTTTATCTGGAAGCCTGTGCTTCCTTCTCAGCTTTTTCTTAGCAAGGAAGGTAATGAAAAGATTGACTCAAGGACACGTTTAAGAGCACTGTGTAAGTGCAAGGGACAGTGGTCTTGGGAAGCTACAGGTAGCGAATGAAAGTATGTGATTCCTGTAGCAGTAGTGAAGTGGTGATGAGGCAGAACCCCTTGGTTTTCTTTAAGTGCTCAGGTCCTGATGCAGACTGTCAAGGGAGGAAGCAGAAGTCCAGTTGCTCAGAGTTTTTAAAATTAGATCAGAAAAAAGCACTCAGAAACAATCTGTGAAAGGCTGGGATCCTGTCACGGCAGCAGGGTTGAACAGATGGATTCTTAGGCCTTTTCTATCTGTAGTTCTTTGCTAATTGAAGATGTTAAACTTGTCTAATGTTCTTTTCTCCATTCAGGGTGATCGGACTCTTTACCCATGGCTTCCTTGCAGGGTATGCTATATGGAACATCATTGTTATCTACATTTTGGCAGGAAATCAGCTTTCCACAGTTTCTAACCTGCTTGAGCAGTATAAGACACTAGCATATCCAGCGCAAAGTCTGTTCTATTTGTTGCTGTCTATCAGTACAGTCTCAGCCTTTGACAGGTAAAAAATGTTTACATTTGAAAGATGTATGTAATTTGTGTGCAATATCTGCCTTTCTCCTTCCTATGGCACCTTTTGATCTGCTGGTGATGATTTAATGTGGTATACTTCTTATACATTTAAGAGAATGATTTTACACATGGCTGGCTATACAGACAAAGGGTGTTCTTGTGCATTCAGACCTTTGTTACTCATTTCTTCCTGTTGCCTGGAGCCCTGATTCAGTGTGCTGGTTTTGTGATCATGAGGTGAACCAGATGGAAGAGCTGACCTGGGTTTTTTCGTGGGGGAGAGGGTAGAGAACAATGAATGTTTCCATCATGTTACCTTTCATGTGAATCCATTCCCCAGTCACATTTCCAACTTAACTGTGTAAACAGTTTTCCTGGCTTAGCTGGGGTTTCTGCATTACAGCTTAAGAGTGGGAATGAACAGAAAGAGGAGTGAAAGAGACCATAAACACAGTGGATTCATAGATGTTATAGATGTTTCTTTTAGTTACAGTTAGTTTCCATGGCAGCATGATAAGCCAGGGAAGGAGTCTGTGCTGTGGAAGAAAGTGTGGCTTTTTTTCATGGAGTGGTGGCAGGGAAGAGGCCTGCATTATTCTTAATTGCTTCTGTTGTGGTGTAAGCTATGTGAGCAGTTATATTAGCATAACTTGGTTGGTGGTGTGGACACTGAAATGAACGGTAAAGATTAGAGAGGGGACACATCTCTCCACATCCTCCCTGTTCCAGAAAGGACTGCAGTTTGAAAGCTATAAAGCTCATGGAACATCCTCCTTAGTTTCAATCTTTCTTGGATTTGGCATGATGAGGACCATTGCTGTGTGTGTGGGATATAGCTGTGTATTAAGGCACTGTAACAGAGGCAGAAAGAGGTATCTTGCAAAAAGTAAAATATCAATAGAATACTGTTACAGGAACAATGTTACTCTCTTATTGGGCTGTGTTAATGACTCTTAGTTTTGTTATCAGGATTGATTTGGCAAAAGCATCAGTTGCACTGAGGGGCTTTCTTACCCTAGACCCAGCAGCAGTAGCCTCTTTCTGTAAGTATTTTGAAGCAGGTAGGAAATTGTCCAGAAAAGACAGTAAATGGAAAAATCCTGCATACTGTTTTCATTGAAATCTTCCTCCCTGGTTATTTTCTGCTTCAGAATAAGTGACTTGCTCAGTAGTTGAAATGGCATTCAAAGGCTATGTGAACACTTCACTACATTTTTTTTTTTAAAGCATTTGTGATAGTAGCATTAGTGGGGCTGTTAGTGAGATTAGTTCTTTTCCCACTTCTGCGTATAAAACACAGACACAGCGAAAACCAGAATCACAAGATGCCACCTTAGATGTAGCTGGTGTTCTGCAGAAGTGCAGAAACCAGATATTTATGGGTCGGGAACATTGAAGAAGAGAGAATGCATGGAACGAGATGATCATTGGAGGCAGTGGAGTGAAAATAAAGGAACTGTAGTGATGATTATCATGTCATGATGAGACAGCATTTTTGGGGTTTATATCTAACACTACTAATTCCATTTCTTCCAGTGTACTTTGTTGCTCTTATCTTATCCTTAAGCCAGCAGATGACATGTGACAGAATTAACCTCTACACACCACCTTCAGAAAATGGCAGCATCTGGTAGGAAACTTAAGAAATCACTTCTGTAAATTATAACATAGCTCACTTAGGAACCTTGCTCACTGTGGATGGAAAAGGTTACACAACATACATAAGAAAGTATCAGTCAAGAATTTACTAAACTTGCCTTTGTCTGAGCTTGTCCACACAGACTTTACTGACTTGCTGTTCACTTGCCATTTGCCTCATGAGGAAGTGCTTAAAAATAAGGTTGACAGACAACATTGTGCTGTGTCCTTCCTCCACAGTAAAATTTAACCATGCACTTTGGGTTTATTTTCTGTCTTTTGGACAAGGAAAGGAATTTGCTGTTGAAATCTACAAGTGGACATTCTCTGTGAGATAATGGGGCTTCTTAGCCAAGATGCTGTCTTAACCAGGCCTTTGCACTGCAAGATCATTAGGATGGTACCAGTAGTTCTGTTTTCACATCTAGCTTAGCAAGCTTGTTTTTGTGATACTCTGTTGAAATTATTATTGTAACCTGTGTGTACCAGCAAACCCCTGACTGATGGGCTGATGTGCTTTTCCCAGGACGGCAGGTACAGAGGAAGAAATTGTTCAGCCATGGGTTGTGGTGAATCTGGTAGTGTCTATTCTAGTTGGGACCAGTTGGATCTTCTTGTCTTACCGACCAGAGCTGGACCACAGTGAAGGTAAGAAACGTTAGTAGGAAAAATGTTGTTTGTTCAGGCTTTTATCTGTTGTGCTCTACATTTGGTGTTCAAGACTAGTCCTGAGAAATTTTGTGGCTGAAGTAAAACAAGAATCTCCTAGCAACTTTCCAGTGAAAGTACTTCTTAGGATGCTGGTGTCTCTGTTTGGTTTTAGAAAGAAAAAACAGTTATTTTAAAAGGAAGCAAAAAGGTCCAGGCTGGAGGAAGGGGGCAAGGAAGTTGTCCCTTTTCCTTAGAAGCAGCTTTGCTAGAGACTAGGCCTTCTTAGAATCACAGAATCATAGAATCGTTTGGGTTGGAAGGGACCTTAAAGATCATCTAGTTCCAACCCCCCTGCCGTGGGCAGGGACACCTTCCACTAGACCAGGTTGCTCCAAGCCTCATCCAGCCTGGCCTTGAACACTTCCAGGGAGGGGGCATCCACAGCTTCTCTGGGCAAGCTGTGCCAGGGCTTCCCCACCCTCTCCAGAAAAAACTTCTTCCTGATACCTAATCTAAACCTCCCCACTTTAATTTAAACATGTTCCCTCTTGTCCTGTCACTACAGGCCCTTGTAAAAAGTCCCCCCAAAGCTTCCTTGTAGCCCCTTCAGGTACTGGAAGGTGCCATAAGGTCTCCCCAGACCCTTCTCGTCTCCAGGCTGAACAAGCCCATCTCTCTCAACCTGTCCCCATAGGAGAGGAGCTCCAGCCCTCTGAGCATCTTAGTGGCCCTCCACTGAACTCGCTCCAACTGGTCTATCTCCTTCTGATGTTGAGGGCTCCACAGCTGGACGCAGCACTCCAGGTGGGGTCTCACAAGAGCGGAGTAGAGTGGGAGAGTCACCTCCCTCGACCTGCTGGCCACACTTCTGATACAGCCCAGGATATGATTGGCTTTCTGGTCTGCCAGCACACACTGCCAGCTCACGTTCTTCCTTTTGTTGTTCCAACTGGGATCCAAAAGGTGTATCGTAACTCAGGTTTCCTGTTACGTGCATGAAGCCTGTGACTTAAAGCTATGCTGTACATAAAAATCATTTCAATTTACAAGTCAACAGGTATCCAAAAATCATGAGTTGAAGCACAGATTTGTGGTTGGGAGGCTGAAGAAGGGTGCAGTATAGATACGTAAGGGAACCCAGACACGAGAAAACTCTACCCCCAGCAGCACAGGGCTCCACAAGGACCACCTCATCAGCTGGTTAGCATGCCTAGCCAAATTTCTCTGCAAGGAGCTCTTCACTGCTGACTGTACCCTGTGTCCCATGCCTGAGCTGTCCTGGTGACAGGTAGCTGTTAGCACTATCATTCATGATTCCTTCTGTAGCAGGTTCCAATGTGGCTAGCTTACACAGTGATACACAGAGCAGATAAACAAGTATAAATAAATGAACGAGTCTCTTACAGAAGTCTTCCTTCTTGAGTCTGACACTCTCAGAACTTTAATTAGGGTTCTGGTTCTGTGCCCAGGTTGAATGCAGAACGATGCCGCTTATGATCAGCTGCTAACATCATCACTATTTCTGTTAATTTTGGGGGGCAACAATAGTTTCCTAAAGACAGTGGCCCTTGCCATTGGTGAGTTGTTGATATTATGATTGGGATGAAAAGCAGGAGGCTTGGAGGAATGCCAGAGCACTTTTCAGGAATAATGAAATCATATTTCGGTGAAACTTTTAAAACAAAACATAATTCTTTTCTTTCTTTTTTTTAGAACTGATGTTTCATGCTGAAATTGAGGAATTTCCCCAGGGAGATATTATGCCGAGAGTCCAGCCATAATGTGGAACAAGGATGTGCAAATATGGTAGCTGTGACTGATGGCTCAAGACGTTATGTATTATAGCCATGTATTATAACTTTCATAAAGAAAAAAATGTATTTTTATATTGTTTATATTTGATTTTGATCTTTTTATGTATGGTACAATTTCCAAATGTGATTGAAAACTTTTATACTTTTACTTTATATTTGACAAAGTAGATATCTCTAGTGCATAAAGTCAAGGTGCTTTTGTAAATATTGCTACCTATATAGACAAACTAGATGGATGCAGAATGTCAGGTATTCAGAGCTTTTTTGACTGCTGTACAGTCTTCAACAACTTGCTTTTGTTACTAGTGATGATAGCAGTTGGCTGACGTGATTTGGCTAAATATTCTCTATAGATTAAAACAAATGTTAAGAAGGTAGCCTAAGGAAGATTGTAACTAGACAGAGTTAGGAAACGTAAAACCCACAGAGTTAGTAAGCATAAAATAATCTAGGTTTAGTTGTCATAGAAAGTATTTTCTAGAATAAGGGATTGGATTGTCAGGGTTTCTGTTTAAACATTCCTTAAAAGAGAACGCTTTATTTTTCTTCATCTTCATTTAGTTCTCTTGACAAAGATCTTGAGGACAAGAAGTTCTTTAAAGTTGCTGTAGACAGAATAAACAGAAGTTTTAATGTTGCAACAGTTTGGTCAGGTAATGAATACCTAAATACCTCTTAGAGTCAAGCAGGATTTTTTGGGTTGCCAAAGGGATATATGTACATCCTGTAATTTCTTGACAGTCAGGACATGTAACTATTACAAAGCTATTCACAGGAATAGTGTTCCGATTTCTCCTTATCTTGTATGGCAAGAACAATTGTGTTATTTGCTGCTCTTTTTAAAGAAACTTGGATTTCACAGGTGTTAAAAATGTTCCTATTTCTACCTATTGTGATGGAGATTGGTTTCCCCCAAAAGGATCTTTGTTGTTTTGTGTTAGGATGGAATGAGAAACTTCTTTCTAAAATTACAAGAAAATACTTACTAAAGCAAAACAAAAACTTTGCAGCAACCCACCTTCTACGTAGTGATGTAGTAGTAGCAGTTGGTGGGTTTTGATGATGATAGCCAACATTCTTTTATTTTAAAGTTGCAAAATGAAAGCATTGCAGATACAAGTAAACATAGACTGTTGCAGGATGAAACAATCTCCTTAGCAGACACAGACAAAAGCTAGTTTGGAGTCCGTTTCTCAAGCAAGTATCACCTAAAGCCCTAAACCTATTTCTGTATGTTATTTAATATGTATTGATTTTGCATTTTTTTTTATTTAGTGTGTGTGTCTAAGTATGGTTGTAAACGGTGTGCAGTTGTTAAAGTTCTCCAGAGAATTATTGTACTTTCTTGTTGTGAAGAGTAGCCAGATAGAAGACTTGAGGATGGATTTTAAAGAGACAGTAACTTTCTGTGCTGTTACCGGAGTTGCTTTAAAACAAGGATGGGAACATTAATAAATAGGGTGGCTGCTGCCCTCTTGAGGACTTGAATTCTGTTGTGCCCATCCAGCAAATTTAAGTAATTTAAAAACTCAGTGTTCATGACATTTTTTAAATGCTATGGTAATCTTGAGGAGCAAGAGAATTCTACCAGAATTAAAAGATGTTCCACAGCTGTTGGCTGCGTTCTGGGGCATTCACTTCGTTGTGGGAAAGAGCTGTTAACCTTTTTAAAGATTGTTATGGCTCTTTGGTATGTATTTTTGCAAAACTATAGAGCTAATTATGGTTGGCACATAATAATGGAGAGATTCAGGGTGCTGCTCCCTTTCAGCATTGCCCTGCAGGTTCTTGTCATGATTTGGCTGTAGGAGATGGGGGTGAGGCACCAAACTTTCTCCAGATGTAGTGTGATTTACAGAGTTGTTGAGCTCCTGAGGATGAGATTAATAATGGTGTCTCTTTGCTGCTTAACATTTCTGTCACTTTGGCATAGTAAGAAATATAAGAAATATAATTTTGCACACAAAGTATGTAGCTCAGGCAAAACTAAGGCATCAAATCAGTAAATAACATCATTGCTTGATTTCTGACATTATTACTAGGAACTGGCCTTCCAAATACTCCTTGGACAAAGCTATTGTAGCCAAGAGCCAGATATTTTATCAGTGTGGAATACAGTAGTTTGTTTAGATGGTTGAGCAGGAATTAAGTTCATTAACTTACGGGATCAGTATTTCAAACCAGGCTTACCTTTCCAGTGCATGTTTTTGGGAGGGTCTGAGTATATTTAAATTAATGAGGTTTGAGGTTGCCATTTAAAAATCACACTTAGTAAACAATTTGATGGGTAATTATCTATTTTACAAAGTACTTTTAATTCCTTTAAGCCTCAAAAAGGAGTACGAGTTTAACTGAGCTTTTTTTGTTTAGTTACTTAGAAAGTTTTAGAACAAGTTTACAAAATAGATGTTTAATCACAGAACATGCAACATCTGTAGAAGCCTTAACTGAAATGCCTTTGTGCGTTTCCATACCACTGTTTTTAATGCAGTATTTTTGTGTTAATGAAAAAATTTAGTGCCAATGTCTTGTTTTTACATATATGAAACAAACAACTGTGCTAAACTAGTTAGAAATGACTGTACTACTTTGTCCTGTTTCCAAATTATTAGTCTGTTTAAAATAAATCAGTCTATTTTTTTCCCCAGTGCTAATACTGTGTATAACATACAAGTTCTGAACAGGTGACTGTGGAAAATTATTTTTTCCCTCTTTTGTGTCAGTGTTGTAAATGATGGTTTTCCTGCTGCTGTACTGGGCTTTTGCACAACAAAAATGAAAACTAGCAAGTAAAGTGTATTTCATCAGTTAATGGGGTTTGTTTAGCCTAAAAAGAATATTAAGATGGAATCTGATTGCAGTCTTTAACCATCTAAGGGATGATTACAAAGAAGACAACAGTCAGACTCTTCTCAAGCTCACAGTTGAAAGGATAACTAGAAATTGTCACAGGCAGCATCAGGAAAAATGCCATTAACTGCCACAGGAGTTTTGGCAGTGAGGATTTGGGACAGGCTGTGAGATGACCCATAGGGGACTGTCTGTGGGAGCTCCATCTCTGGAGCTGCTCCAGACTTGGGTGGACAGAACCCTCTGCAGCCTTAGCAGAGGATGGACCTAACAGGCCTCCAGAGTCCCTTCTAAGCTAGGTTGCTTAAATTGCTTAAAAAGCAAAATAAGAAGTCATTTAAAATTTGGTTAAATTCCGGTTGGTTCTTTTTAAATGCGACTCCCTTGTCCCTGCTTTCTCAACATGAAGCCAGGTGGCATTAATTTGAAAATTTCTTTTAAAAAGTGTATTTTGGTATTGCTGAGGTAATCTTCAGGAAGTTTATGGTTAGGTCAGAATTATTTTCTTGCATATTTGCAGCACAATTAAATTACTGAAGGCTTTGGAAGAGTAAACTCAGGTACGTATTTATTGCTGAGCCTTACCTTTCTCTTCCTTTTTCCTCATAGTGGTGTGGAAGGTAGTGCTGTATTCTTTACTGCACCTTTGCTTCACATGGGTCCGAGTTCCTTAGGAAAAAGGGTTTTTTCCTGGGTGTTAGGAATGTTCTGTGCCCCCCGGAGCTGCTCGCTCTTTTCACCGATGGCAGGGCTGGGAGCTCTCGGCTGGGCCAGGCCCACTGCCCC